CCACTGTGGGTAAGGCTGGGGGCTGACTGCTGCGGCTGGGCACCCTGGCACCTCGGCACCCCAGCCACGTGATGCGGCCTCAGCGGGTTCAGGGAGCTCAGGCGTCCCCAGCACCTGTGGGCCATCCCCAGCAGGGAGGGCACATCCTGCCTGGCATCACCCCTGGGTGCTGACTGTGCCCCCCGCCTGCGCGGAGACCCCGGCATCCCCCTGCTGACACCGTGATGGCTGCCCGGGGACCCCGGTTGCCTTGGTTACGGGATCACCACCGCAGTTTCCATAGGAACGGTTACAGGGGACCGGGAAATTCATTGGGATGACAGAGCGGGAGCAAGCAGCCGCGGGAGCCTGGGGTGACACGGCTGTGGGTGCCCTCCGCTCCCCATGTCACCCACAGCAGCCACCCTGCCCTGGTGCTGCCCTGGGTGTCTGCGGGACCTGGGCCAGGCTGGGGTGCTCTGCGCGCCCAGCACCCCAGTGTGCTGGCTGAGGGTGCATGGCACCTGGGGGAGTGGGTGAGGTGGGTGAAAATCAGCGTGGTGCATGATGGTGTGTGCGCGGGCTGATGGGGTGCAAGTGGGCGGAGAGGGTGCGAGCTGCTGATGGGGTGCAGGTTGGACTCTTGAGGTGCAATGGGGCCGGCGCCCGCCTCGAGGGATGCCTTTGCCTGCATCCTCCTCCCCACCTGCCTTGGCCTGCTCCTGAGCCAGGGAACATCATGCCCCGGGACGTACCCATCACTGGGCCCTTTGGAACGTGGTCTTACCGCAACGATGTCGATGCCGAAGTTGGGGCTGGCCTGAGATGCCCCTGGTCTCCTGCGCCCTGCGCAATGGGGCCGGCGCCCGCCTCGAGGGATGCCTTTGCCTGCATCCTCCTCCCCACCTGCCTTGGCCTGCTCCTGAGCCAGGGAACATCATGCCCCGGGACGTACCCATCACTGGGCCCTTTGGAACGTGGTCTTACCGCAACGATGTCGATGCCGAAGTTGGGGCTGGCCTGAGATGCCCCTGGTCTCCTGCGCCCTGCCCGGGCTGCCTGGCACTCGCTGGCTTCTCATCCCCCACCATGGGCACTGTGGCCCTCTGTGCTGTTCCGGGGCCCAGGTGCTGTGGCACTGGGCTGGGTACAGGGGGGGTGAGGTCTGTGTCCTGCTGCTTGTCCCTAGATGCCAGCGTGCCCAACGTGCAGGTGACGAGGCTCACCCTGATGTGCGAGCAGGCACCAGGGCCCATCACCATGGACTTGACAGGTGAGTGGTGGGGGCACCCATGGGAGGAGGAGGAGGTGGAGGAAGGGATGCCAGGCTCATGGGCCATCTTCCCACGCAGGAGACCTGGAGATGCTGCGGGGCCGGGCCTTTGTACTGAAGGAGGGGGTGGACTACAGGGTGAAGGTGTCCTTCAAGGTGAGGTGGTGCATGGTGCCCTGCACCCACCAGCTGGACACAGCCCTGCTACCCTCACACCCGGGGTCTCGGCTCCCCAGGGGTCCCTTTCCCCGTGTGTCCCTGCCCCACGGGGTCCCACCTGCCACCTGTGGGTTCCCTGCTGCCCCAGCATCCGTGCCACCTGGGATCCCTTTTGCCCTGGGACCTCTGCCCCTCACCCTCAGGGTACTCTCTGGTGGTCTCTACCCACCTGGGGATCCCTGCCCTCCTGGGAATCTTTGCTGCCCCCTGTATCACTGACACCCAGGGTCTCTGCCACCCCAGGGTCCTTACC